AAAAAAAAAAAAAAAACCTCAAATAATCAGTTCAAGGTTGAACTGCTAACAGTGAGATTTGAAGTTAACATCATTTAATTAATTAATTAATTTTTTAGACATGGGGCCTCACTCTGTGGCCCAGGCTGGAGTGCAGTGGCACCATCATAGCTTCCTGCACCTTTGAACTCCTGGACTTAAGGTGATCCTCCCACTTAGCCTCCTGAGTAGAGGATCAGGACCTTGAACTTAGCATTGCTTTTATATTTTTTTTATTTATTTACAGAGACTTTGGAACTTACTATGTCTCGGGCACTTTTCTAGGTGCTTTTGATGCATTAAAACACATTTAATCCTTGCATCAACTTTAAGAAGTAGCCACCATGCTAATCTCAATGCAGAGATGAGTAGCAACTTTGTGTAACTCCAGTCAAGGGCTTGATAAGCTTTTACAGTTCTCTTACAGTTTTTATCTTCCTAGAACATGTCTTTCCTTCATCTATTTTTCTAATTAATATTGAGATACACCAAGCAGCTGGTTACATTTTGTACGATAATTTTTTGTCATTCATTCTACAGTGATTTCGCTTAGCATTAAAGGTTTATAGAATTTCCTTTTAGTTTGTAAATTAGGAACAAGATTGGCATTCACTTCTTGTTGATACTCCCCAAACTTCATTATACACAACAGCTTCTCTCAAGTAGGATCTCACATAATCAGTTCAAGGTTGAACTGCTAACACAAGATTTTACATTAACATTTTATTCCCACTCTGTTGCCCAGGCTGGAGTGCAGTGGCACCATCATAGCTTGCTGCAGCCTTGAACCCCTGGACTGAAGGAATCCTCCTGCCTCAGCCTCATGAATACTTGGGACTACAAGGCATGACTCACCATGCCTAGCTGGACATTTTATTTTATCAGATAGCAGAGAGAAGCACTTGCATTACAAAAATAAAATACATAAAATTTACAATGAATTTGCCAGGTGTGGTGGCTCACACCTGTAATCCCAGCATTTTGGGAGGCTGAGGCGGGTGGATCACCAGGTCAGGAGATTGAGACCGTCCTGGCCAACATTGTGACACTTCATCTCTACTCAAAATACAAAAATTAGCTGGGTGTGGTGTTGTGCACCTGTAGTCCCAGCTATTTGGGAGGCTGAGACAGGAGAATCACTTGAACATGGGAGGTGGAGATTGCAGCGAGCTGAGATCGTGCCACTGCACTCCAGCTTGGCAACAGAGCAAGAGTCCATATCAAAAAAAAAAAAAATTACAAAAAATTAATGACTTTGCCAATCTAGCATATGACCTCAAATGGTAGTGGTTAAATTAGGAGCCAATCAGCCACTTTCAAAACACGTTTTTCATAATGAAATTTTAAGGGCAGTGTCATTGTTTATTTCTTCTACTGCTCATAGGTTTAGTTGTGGTCCTGCTGTAGGGCTTGTTAGAAAATTTCCTTGAGTTGCTTTAAATGGTCTTTTGAAAGCCAAATGCTGTAATCCTATAATCATTACAATTGGGAACAAAAGATACATTTCTAGGTCTTATTATAACTCAAAATCTTACTGATGGCAGGATTATTTATCCCCATTTATTTTTTCTAATATATTTAAAGCGCAGATAATTGTGTTTAATCAGTTGTCTTTTATGCTGAATCATTTGACCATATGAAGAAAGCAAATATTTGGACTTTTACCCCATCTCGACCAGAGGGATCAGTAAAAACCTGGAATGAAGAATTTCTTCATGTGCATACCTTTTTTTCTTGTGTGCAGTGCCCTTCATTCACACTTCTGTGCATTCACAAATTTGTGATTCCAATTTTTTGTATTAATTTAGAATCATTTATTAATTCCACAGTCAAGTTAATAAAATGCCATTGGGAATTTGTGGATCAAGATGGCCAAGGGCAGATCTATATTATTTCTAGTTAAAGAATTACCAGTTGCTTTGCTTATTGTACACTGAAGTTTATACCCTGAACTAAGCTATATCAGATGTTGGTGCAGTAAACTAGAAATGAAGTGGTAACAGGAGGCCTAAGGTAAAGACCATCTGAGAGCACTGTGAAACCGTGGAACGCTGCAGGGTGGTTGCAGAGCAGGAAATACTGCTTTGGTCCCATGAATGCCTTCTCAACACGGAGGTTGCATAAGGATCTCATAAGGAGGACTTGTGTAAGATCTCTGAGAAGGGAGGCGACCTCTGTTCACAAGATGTAGGAGGGTCTTTGCAAATGGGAATTTGCAAGAAGGAAAAGCCTTGCAGGGCAGAGATTACTGGAATGCCACAGGCTCTGCCTAGGTTCTCAGAATATGGAGTAATGTTGATTGCTCTGTGTCCAAAATGCACAGGAAATAAAAGCCCCGTGATGCATTGGGCATGGTCAGAACTGGTGGCGCCTTATCCGCTATGCTTCTGATGCATTAAAAGACATTTAATCCTTGTATAGATAAGTTTTACATGCATTTTCTCAAAATTCATTACTTGATCCATTTATTCATTCTAAACCCATGTCAAATGCCATTCTTTAAACCTCACCTTTTATTAAAGTTGATTTCATTTATTAATTCAATCAAATGCCATTGACGTTTATAGCAAGAGGCATCAAAGAAGGCAGAATGTTTCTGTCTGTTCTGGAATTAATGGGGTAGAGAGATGGGAAGGGCAGAGGGACAAGAGGCCTCACAGAGGTAGACCAGATACAATGACACCTGCCTCCCTAGTTAGAAACTAACTTCCAGGATTCAGGATTCAAGAGTCAGGAATAAAGTCCCAATATTTACAAGATATCCAGGTCTTTCTTGAATTCAGTGCTCATTTGGCCAAGGCTAAGATCTTCACACATTTTGCTTTAAGGATACAAGCTTAGAATGTGGCTGCCTCTGGAACATTTCATGCTAAAGAAATCCCAACAGGTGTGGACAAAGAATCTAGAGAGTGCCAGCCACCCTTCCATGGAACTCTGTTCAAGGCACCTCCTTGTGCTCTGTTACTTATGTTGGCCACGTCCTCAGGAATTTAGAGAAATGGACATGTTGTCTCTGAGTGGAAATGAGGGGAGGCCACTGGGCGGTCAGAGATTTTGAATCCCTGTGTCCTTTCCCTCCATCTCAACCAGAGACCACTTGTGGAAGCCCAAGAAAAGAAGACATGAATGTCAGAGGTGAATTCAGTCCCATGGATCCATTGTGGTCAGGGGATGGAAGCCAAGTGGCCCAACAGAAATAAAGTCTATGAGGCCTTGGTCACCCCAACGCTCTTCTCCATTAGAAGCTGCCTCTCACTGCAATCACGGACCCCAGGAGCTGGACATGGCATTCTTTATCATGTCTGATGAGGAGCTGGAAAGGTCCCAGAGCATATAGGCCTTGATCAAATTGGAGCCAGAGTGGAGTCAGGCAAAACTCTGCATTGGGCAGGGTCATATGTTTGTTTTAATTTCTTAGAGAGGCCATAACAAAGCACCACACACTGGGTGACTTAAACAACAGAAATTCATTGTCTCACGGTTCTGGAGGCTAAAAGTTTAAGATCAAGGTATTGGCAGTGCTAATTTCTTCTGAGGCTTCTTTCCTTGGCTTGTACATGTGTTCTCTCTATGTCTTCACATGGTCATTCCTCTGAATCTGTCTGTATCCTAATCTATCTTTTTTTTTTTTTTTTCTCGAGATGGAGTCTCGCTCTGTTGCCCAGGCTGGAGTGCAGTGGTATGATCTTGGCTCACTGCAGCATCTGCCACCCAGGTTAAATCCATTCTCCTGCCTCAGCCTCCTGAGTAGCTGGGATTACAGATGCCTGCCACCTCACCCAGCTAACTTTTGTAGTTTTAGTAGAGACGGGGTTTCACCTCTTGGCCAGGCTGGTCTTGAACTCCTGATCTCATGACCCACCTGCCTCAGCCTCCCAAAGTGCTGGGATTACAGGCATGAGCCACCACACCCGGCCCAATCTTCTCTTTTTATAAGGACAGTAGTCACATTGAATTAGGGAACATTCATATGACCTTATTTTACCTTATTTACCTCCTTAAAGACCTTTCCAAATGCAGTCACTTTCTCAGTTACTGGGGGTTAGGATATCAACATGTCAATTTGGGGGATACAGTTTGGCCCATAACAGTCTGGATTATCCTTGAGATTGCATTTTCTAAAGAATAAAATAAAGTAAATCTCTTTGGCTTGACTATGTCTCTTGACACTCCAAACTTTTTTTTCTCGCAATGAGAACCAAAAAAAGGAGAGCCAAAAGGTTGGTGTCACCCAACAGGTGAGCCATCTGCAACTCTGGCTGCCCAAGGCCCAGTGCTGTGTCATTCCTGAAAGTCTTGTTCCATTCTAGTGATTCTGGTTCCAGCTTTTCAACTGGAAAGAGGATTCTCTGCTAGAGGAAAAACTTTTCCTGCTGTGCAGGCTTATTTTCTTTATATTTGCAGGTCAAAAAAGTTGATGTAATAAAAAGAACATATTTGTCAAATTTTTGTAGTAATTATTTTTATCCTCATCAATACTCCATATTGTGATGAATATGTTGGCTTCATTTTGGTGGAAGGGACATGACACTGAACCTTTTGAGCCAGGATTACTCTGGGCCTTTTTATGGGATTTAGTTTCTGCCATGATGGGTAAAGGGAGAGCTCTTAGTGTAGGGTTTATTCTTTACAATGAACCATTCTGTTTGGGCAGCAGGTTTAGCTCTGAAAGCTTGAAGGTTAGGCAGGAGTGCAGTCCTCCTCCCCGTTCAAAAGGTCAAGGTAGAGCAGGTTCTTGTTCAGGGTACAGTGAGTGAGAACAGGGAAAGAGAGAGCATTCTTTCACCTTTTTGTGACATGCACACATCCAAGTTTCTGGTGTTTTAAATAATTGAAACTGAGACCTAGATCCACTTATCTGTAAAGCAGAACTGTGGAGGAGGGAAGCACATCATCCTCCCACTGGAGAGATCCCTGAAGAGAGATTTGTGAGCCCCCATTTTACCAAAAATGACACAAAATTTCATCAGAATAAAGTGAAATTGTGGCTGTATATGGGGCTTTATTTACAGCTTTGACTCCACACCTACTTCCCAAGACATGATCCTTCCTCAGGATACTATAGAATCACAGGGCTTAGACTTGAGGGGTAGGTAAGCTGTGATGGTGGTCTTCCTTTTTGGCAAATAGATGTTTTGGATTGCATGTATTTTCCAAAGAAGGCTGCAAAAATATCTTCCATCATACTAGTTTAACCCACCACTCCCTTATCAAGAGGTCAGGCCTCTCCACCCTCTGAAACATAAACAGGTCTGATATATTAGTCAATAAATGTGACAGAAGCATGGTTATCTCAGTTCTAGGCACTGCTATTAACCATCCTGCCTGCATCTGGTTTCTTTCACTTCCACCCTAAACCATGTAAAACTCCCAGGCCATCATCTGAGCCCGTGCATCACATAGAACCCTATGAGAGATCATAAAAAATTCTTAGTTACTATTTTCATGAATATCTTTTCTATCCTTCCACTTTCAACTTGTGTGTTTCCTTAGGTCCAAAGTGAGGATCTTGTAGCCACCATACAACAAGACTCTTTTTATTCTATCCATTGTGATCATCTTTGAGTTCTGCTTGGAGAGTTCAATCCATTTACATTTCAAATAATTACTGATAAAGAAGGACTTGCTTCTGTAATTGTGATGTTGGTTTTATGCATATCTTATAACTCTTTCAGCCCTCATCTCCTTTATTCCAACCTTCCTTTGTGTTTATTTTTTCTTTTGGGGTGGATGGTAAAGAAACCTTTAATGAAGATTCAAGGTTTGTAACGAAGACACAGAGGGCCGGCGCTCAGCCCCAGCCTCCTAACATGTACATGGCTCCCTGAAGGTTCTCCAGTCGATGCTGCTGCTGCTGTTTTCAAACCTTATCTCATCTGTGCTCAGCGTTAAGTGTCATCATCAATGAGAAGTTCATGGTGGCACAAGGGACAGGAATTTGTCTTGCTTAGCCAGGGCAGAATGCAGCTGGAATGGAAGAGGTGATGGCAAGGCATCTCAATGGCAGTCTCCTCCTCCTCAAATTCCAAAAGACACACGGGGCACTTGAGCTCAGGCTGAGAGCCTCTGATGACTATCCTGGGGAGGTTCACAACAGTCTTGGCAGCTGATGGAGGCAGGTAGTAGTCCCAATCTACTACCAACCCCAAGTCTTCAAAGTCCATCCTATTGAAAAGTGACCTTGCGAGCTCCAGCAGCAGGTTGGTTCGAGTCTCCTGCTCGGGGTCCAATGGCTCACACTTGTGTTTATTGAAATAGGATGCCATGGCTGCCCAGCCATCCGACGCAGCTCTCAGATCCTGTGGTTTTTTTCTAGTGATATGTTTTAATTGCAGTCTCATTTTCTTTTGTGTATATTTTATGAATATTTTGCTTGTGATTACTGTGGTATTACATGTAGCAATATAGTTATAACAATCTTGAATTCAAACCAACTTCAATCACATATGAAAACTCTGCTTCTTTCATCAACATCCCATGAATCCAGCACTTGAAGTTTCCACTTTCTGGGGCAAACCTTCATGGCCTTCATAGCCAGCAGTGGATCAAGTCCCTCCTCAAAAAAATAAGAAAGAAAGAAAAGAAAACTCTGCTTCTTTACGTCTGTTTCCACCCCTAATTTTAAGTTATTGATGTCACATATTACACCTCAGCAGCCTGGCAGGCTGGAAAGTCACAATGTTGCAGTCATCAGTCTAATATTTGTAGACCAGACTGACAGACTGGTAACCTAATCTGTAGTTGCTACTGTCATCTTGAGGCAGAATATTTTCTTGCCTTGGAAGCCTCATAGTTTGCCCAAAGGTCTTCAACTGATTCAAAAAGTCTCATTCACATTTTTTAGGGTAATTTAGTTTTCATAAAATCAACTGAGGCTAAGTGCGGTGGCTCACACCTGTAATCCCAGAATTTTGGGAGACTAAGGCAAGTGGATCACCTGAGGTCAGAAGTTTGAGACCAGTCTGACCAACATGGTGAAACCCCATCTCTACTAAAAATACAAAATTAGCTGAGTGTGGTGATTGATGCATGCCTATAATCCTAGCTACTTGGGAGGTTGAGGCAGGAGAATTGGTTGAGCCCGGGAAGTGGAGGTTGCAGTGAACCGAGATCGTGTCATTGCACTCCAGCCTGGGTGACAGAGTGAGTCTCCATCTCAGGAAAAAAAAAAAAACATCAATTGATATTAGATTTAATCACAATTGCAAAACACCATCATAGCAATATATACATTTAGTGTTTGATTAAATAACTAGGTACTATGGTTTAGTCAAATTAACACATAAGACCAACCACCCCAGTCCGTGCTTGTGAACTTGGCACCCATAAACATTTTCTTAAACCATGCTTAGTCTCCAAATAAAAACAATTACAAAGTCATACTTTTGGCAATGATAATACAACTATCTTACATCCAACTAAAAACACACTAACCCTTTCCCCAGAAAAAGATTCAAACTGAATACATGATATGCACTCTTCTCTTTGATATACTGTAAACTATATACCATGTTTAATAAAAGTTAAACCATCATTAATAAAAGGGAACTATTATTAACACATCTTATGTTTTATTGTAAGATGATAAGAAAACAATGAAAACAAAGGAATTTGCTTAATACATGTATGGATATATACACACAGACATAAATATCTTTATAAAAAATAAGGAAGTAATAGAATATTTACCATCTCTATTTCTGTAACTGGTCACATGGTTACAGCTGGTTATTTATTTATTTACTTATTTATTTGAAACAGGGTCTCGTTCTGTTGCCCAGGCTGGAGTACAGTGGCATTACCTTGGGTCACTGCAACCTCCACCTGCTAGGAACAAGTGATCCTCCTACCTCAATCTCTTTAGTAGCTGAGACTACAAGCACACCACCAAGCCTGACTAACTTTTGGTATTTATTTCAGTAGGGATGGAGTTTCTGCATGTTGCCCAGGTTGGTCTCACATTTCTAGACTTAAGCAATCCACCTGCCTCAGCCTCCAAAGTGCTGGGATTACAGGCATGTGCCACCATGCTGGCCACAACTGGTATTTATAAATAGCTTTTTTCACTAACCATACCATATTTCCATTACTTCCAGCAAGTCCCTCAGCTGATCATGTTTCTTTTCCTGCTTGTGCGACTCAGACATTCATTCCTGAAGGGTATGGGTCATTAGTAGTCCTGCCTGACTTGGGCTGTTGTAGTTTTTATTGACTTTAATTGTAGGACAGAGTATTACTAAGAGATATTCTAACACCTCTCCTGTGTTCCAAACAGTCTTATTTGCTACCACTGTGTAGTAGCAGACAAACTTCCCCCTGATGACCAGGACCAATCACCCCAGACAGTGCAGTAACCCCTTCTTTTGTCTGTTGATTCAGAAGCATGAGGAGCTGAAGGGGCTGGGTGGCTGCCTTAGCTTCCAGCTCAGTGGAATCATTTCTGTGTCTCCTGAGGGAGCATTCCTCCCTTTGGAAAACCTCTAGACCCTCAGGACATAAGGTTGTGGGGACAGGAAGCAAAGATTTTGCAATTGGAACTCTGTAGGTAATAGTGAATCTTGTGACTCCCATTTCTATTTGGTAATTTCTGGACACACGGATCTTGGCTATGGGATGAACAGCACCATACGTTGGATGCTGATTCAGAGCATATGCAATTCTGGAGAAAGTTGTGTAAAAACCCACACATTCACAGTAAATGCATGCTCAAAAGGCCATAGTGCCCTTCTGTAAAACCAGCTGCTTCAGGATGATGGAGAACACAGGAAGACCTGTGCATTTCATGGGTCCATTGTGGCACTTAATTTTCTGTGAAGTGAATTGCTTAATCCCAAGCAACACTGTGTAGGATACCACATAGTAGATATGGCATTCTAAAGTCCATGAATATTGCTCTGGCAGAAGCACTACTTGCAGGGAACATAAATTTGTATCCAGAGGAAACATCTGTTTAGGAAGAATAAACCCCTGCTTCTTTCATGATGGTAATTGTTCAATGTAATCAACCTGCTCCAGTAGCTGGCTAATCACCTCCAGGAATGGCGTCACATTGGAGACTCAATGTAGGTTCTGCTGATGGCAGATTTGGTACATACTCAGCAGTGGTTGTAGCCAGGTGGGCTTTGGTGAGTAGAAATCTATTTTACTGAGCCCATGCATGATCTCCACCTGTACCACCGTGGCCATTTTGTTAATGAGTCCACTAAGCAAAGAGGATGACAGGTATACAAACAATGAGCCATCCTATCCACTTTATCAAAACCTCTCCTGCTGAGGTCACCTTTTGGAATTAGTCACATGAGAGACAGATATCTGCACATTTTTTGCACATTTAGAAAGGCCTATCAGCATAGCTTATCCCCAGAACCTCTTGCCAACAATTTTCCAATCATGTTCTTTAAAATTCTCTGACCATCCATCAAGCCATTGGCTATAGCCTATAAACCCATATACAGTCACATCTGTGTTCATTTCTCTTTTGAAGCAAAATTAATAACCAGCTACACTACTCAAAGTTCTGTCTACTGGGAATGTCTCCCTTCAACACGGTTCTTCAGGGATGTCACAGAAGGGATGCCTGCATATCATACAGAACTAACTATCCACAGATCTTAGTTTTCCCTTCCTGAGTCAACTAATTTTAAGGAACTCTCCTATGATGCATTAGGTACAGGCTATGGGAGAAAGGTAATGTAGCAGAACTGGGAGCCATGAGCATGTGGGACATTTCCTGGTGTCATTTAATTGTGCCTTCAGGGCTTCCTTCAACCTGATCTCCTGTATACCAGTTCCTCTAGCTGATGGAGCGCTGCTATGCACACTCAACATTATGGCTTGTGGGTCAGACAACACCCAATTAATGATGGGTAGCTCATGTCACATGGCCATTTCGTGGCCCATAGTGACACATTCAGTCTCTACTAAGGCCCAGTTGCAAGCCAAAAGCTTTTCTCAAAAGGTGAGTTGTTATATGCAGAGGGTAGCAGGGCTTTGCTCACAGCTCCCAGTCCTGCAACATTACCTTTTCTCTCCTAGCATGCATCTAAAATTATTCTCTGTGATTCACTTACAGGAGGCTACCAAAGGCTCCAAGTAGTTCCCATCTGCCTCTGTCAATTCAATCTCTGTTGGATCATTTTATTCAAGTGGTAAAGTAACTTGCACAGCATCCTGGACCTGTTGCAGAGTCTTCTTATGTTCTGGGCCCCACTCAAAACTGGCAGTTTTTCAGGTCAGATCCCTCAGTAAATGGGCAAGAGTAGCACACCCAAATGAGAAATATGGTGCCTCTGAAATGACAGTGCAGTGCGTGTTGTGCCTGCTTTTTGGTTGTAGGAGGAGCCAGATGCAACACATTATCTGTCACCTTAGAAGGACTATCTAAATGTGCCCCCATCACTGGACCCCTAGAAATTTCTACCGGGGGTTGGTGGGGGGCTTCTGATTTTTATCAGATACATTTCCCATGCCCTGACACACAAACTTATTTTTAATAAGTCTAGAGTAATTGCTTCTTCTTGTTTACTAGATCCAGTCAGCATAATGTCATCGATGGAATGGGTCAGGGCAGTGTCTTAAGGATGGGAAACGTGATCAAGTTTCTTGCAGACTAAATTATAATATAGGGCTGCAGAATTGATATATCCCTGCAGTAGGACAGTGTACATGTATTACTGGTCTTGGCAATTGAAAGTAAAATCTTTAAAATTCATCTGTTCTCCACACTGATCAAATAAACTAGTTGAAAGGGCATCTGATGGGAATTGTTTACCTGCATACTTTAACCTTTTGGTGATGACACTAACCCCTGTACTCCCTCCAGAAATGGAGTATTGCATTTGGTTTACTATTTTTCTAAATAGAATCAGTTCTACTGGATTCCACCTATTCATTTTTGCCTTCTCTCATGGGGAGGAATGATAAGTGCAAGTAAATGCAGCACTTTCAACTGAAACATTCAGGTACTTGCACTGGGATTAATCAAGGAAACAACTCAACCCATGGATCTTTAGATACTCCAGGTTTCTGGCTCCCTGGCAAAAGTAACTGCAACTTCTGCAAAATGGAAGGTTAGACCCCCCACACATACCCACAGGAAAGAGGCTGAATCCACTGCAGGCCCCACTTCCATATGGCTTCACAGGATGAGATTCTTTTGGCTTAGAATTCCAGCCACCTGCAGCAGAGTTGCACCTACCTGGGACAGAGCTCCTCAGGGAGGGGTGGGCCTCTGACTTTGCTGTTTGGTTGACTATGCCATTCCAGCCTTCAAGCTTCAGAGTGTCCAAAGAAACCAGGGGTCAAAATAGACTCCCAGCACAGCATTGCTGCTCTACAAAAAAACATGGCCAGACTATGTTTTAAAACAGGTCCACAATGCTGTTCCTCCTGACTGGGCCAGATCTCCCAACCAGGGTCTCCAGCACCTCCCACAGGTGTGTTTGGGCTGGCAATAGGCTGTAATTCACTGAGACAGAGCTCCCAGAGGAAGCGGCAGACTGCCATCTTTGCTGTTACATAACCTTCACTGACGATACCTCTAGGTACTGGGAAATCTGAGGAGCAGGCCCCCAGTAAACTGCAGCAGCCTTACAGAAAAGTGGTCAGACTATTAAAAGACGAAACAAAACAGGAGGAAAAAAAAAACCCATTCAAAAGTCAGCAACCTCAAAGATTGAAGGTAGATAAGCCTCAAGAGATGAAAAAGAATCAGCACAAGAATGCTGAAAACTAAAAAGCTAGCAAGGGTTCAGAACCAGGCTAAGGTTGAGATGGCTGAAACAACAGATGTAGAATCCAAAATATGGATAGGAATGAATTTCACTGTCCTAAAGGAGTACACTGTAACCCAATGCAAGGAAGCTAGAAAACATGATAAAATATTGCAGGAGCTGAATGACAAAATATCCAGTTTAAAGAAGAGTGTAACCAACCTTACAGAACTGAAAAATGTACTAC